CCCGGGCAGCGCTGCAGGCTGTGGGCAGAGCGGCTGAAAGCTGCTCAGGGGAACAGGACCTGGGGTGCTGGTCCACAGCGGCTGAGCACGAGCCAGAGTGGGCCCAGGTGGCCAAGAAGGCCAAGGGCATCCCGGTTTGTGTCATAAATAGGTGGCCAGCAGAGCCAGGGCACTGATTGTGCCCCTGTGCTGGGCACTGGTGAGGCTTCACCTCCAGTGCTGTGAGGAGCAGCTGAGGAAGCTGGGGGTGTTCAGCCTGGAGAAAAAGAGGCTCCGGGGGGACCTGGTTGCTCTCTGCAACTGCCAAAAAGGAGGCTGCAGCCAGGTGGGGATCAGTCTCTTCCCCCAGGTAACAGCAACAGGACAACAGGAAACGACCTCAAGCTGCTCCAGGAAAGGTTTAGATGGGACATCAGCAAAAATTTCTTCACTGAAAAGGTTTTTAGGCATTGGAACAGGCTGTCCACAGAAGTGGTGGAAGCACCATCCCTGGAAGTCAAAAAAAATGTGGATGTGGCATGAGGGAAATGGTTTAGTAGTGAACCTGGCAGTGCTGGGTTAACAGGAGTGCCCAATGATACTTTTCCAACATTGAAGATTCCTCGATTCTGAGTGACTTTCTTCTACATTAACTCTGCTTAAGTGCCTTTTTCCATTGGTTATTTCTCTTTCCAGTTTCCACCCCAAAAGATGGGTACTGCAGCACACATGGGATTGAATTTCCTCTTCCTCTCTGCAGGTAAGGTGTCTGTGGTATTTTGTTCTCTATGGTGAATCCTGTAGCTTGGTGAGAAATACCTTATCAGCTGAAAGTGTAGAGTAAGAAGTGTGTTACCAGGGAGGAACTGAAAGGTAACCTGATGTTTTACCCCTACATTATGTTTGTTTTCTGAAGTTTAAATAACAATGCATGTATTGGGCACATGTGTATAAATAGAAAACAACAGTGAAATAGGTGTGCCTTGCTGTAATCCCTTTAAAGATGGCTCTGAAAGCCTTAGAAGTGAATGGAAAATTCTTCCTTTTTTTTTTTTTTTCCTAGGAGAGACTAAACTGGCATTCTGATTCAGCATCTAATGCTGCTTCCTGTTTCACCTAAAACTACTGAAGTGTTTTAAAATAACAGAAAAGACAAATTCCTCAGATGGCTTGAGGATTGGGTCATGCTATTATGTCAAATACACTTACTGCTTTTTACACTCTCCCCCACTGTTTCCTTGAGATATTCTGTGGCAGGAGTAGTCTATTCAGCAACTAACACACAGATAATAAACCCCAGCATTTGCCTCAGTTTTATTTTCTCCTGAAACATTGCTGTAAAGTGGCAGATATTGGAAACACAGTTTGCTGCAAAGTTGCCTTAACGGTCTTCAATTTCTGTTTGCTTCCATTTCGTTTTCCTGTGGAGAATGAAAATGACTGTTCTAGGCAAGGCTGGGAAGATTTTCCCTGGGCTAACAATGAGCAGAGAACTGAAGTGCCGGAATTCTTTCCTTGATGTCAGTTTAACTGACTCAGTGGCATAAAACAAAATTAGTAACGGTTCAAGTGCGTAATCTTTCCTCTGGTTAGAACTTCCCTGACAAACACTTATTATTTGGCTAACAAGGAGTAATTAAGTTTCTGCAAAGAGGACCAAGAGAAAAGTGATTGACCCCTCAAGGCTGAGCCTCAGCAGGGTCTAACTAAAGCTCCTTCCTGAAACTGTGAGTCACTCTGTGAGACCGAGCCAGTCTTCCCTCCCCTCAGTCATGTTTTTAACTGTGGTGAGGAAACAAAATTAGAATAAGCACGGATTTTAAATGAAGTTGCTGAGCTCTCAGATAACTTTCAGGAAAAGCAGAAGTATGTGAAGTTGCATCAGAACTTGCTTTTGTACCAGGCAAGCAATTTAGAGTTTATGTAGTGCTATCAAGGGTTTCTTGGTTAAGTGTGATTGCTGTTAATTAATGGTTAGTGGATTACATGTCAATCTTATTTTCAAAGGTTCAGAATGTAAAGTCTTTGATAAGCAAGGATCCAGATTAGCATATCAAAATAGAAGGGTTCCTTAAAATAACTCACACTTTGGGTGTGGATGCAGTTAGTCCTGTAACTTTGTTAAAGCTATTTTGGGTAACCATAAAAAACAAAGGTTTCATTCCACAAGTAAGTTTGCCTGAATTTAATCTTCACTTTAATTGGTTTTTCTCAGTTAGTTCAATCCTATAAAAACACTGAGGATTTAAATATGAGTATGGCTATATAAAATAATGTGCTAGGTTTATGCACAACTTCTAAGTATCCTCTTGATTAACCTATGAAGTGCTGGAGCAGCTGAGACTTGTATAAACCACTCATTTTAATGAAACATTTAAGTATGGGCTGCTAACCTAGTGACCTGAATGGGACTATTTATATTCTGAGTGGAAAACAAATCCTGTTCTGGCAAAGGATTTTAGCATGTCATTTAAATCAGGAGTAACAGAAGCCAGCAAAAAGAATGAAGAGAAAATGAAAAGCAGCACACAGGGTTTTAGTGGGTTGTTTTCTGGAAGTTTTTTGTTTGTTTGTTTGATTGGTTGGTTGTTTCTTTGTTGTTGGTTGGTTTTTAGATGTGTGGGTGTGGTGGGTTTTCATTGTTTATTACAATTTGTGGAGCATTTAGTTTGGATTTTGTTTTTCCACTCTATTGTTTTTACCAAAAATCCAAACTGCCAAAAAATCACTGAACTCTGTTCAAAGCAGAGATTAAGTCCCTGCCATTACAAGATTCATGTGTGAACTACATTAATTGCTTTTCTTTAGTGACTTTTCACAGAATCTAACTGTATTTTAAGGCACTTTAGGAAGGGTCTTCTGTGTTTACTGGTGACCTTGTGGGTGCTCAGCTACCAACCTATCTGCATGTATAAAAGTTGTCTCTTTCCTTCTTAAGTGGAATAGCTGTCTTCTAATTGGAGAAATGCTAATGTATTTTACGATGGCAGATGTTTCTGATAATAATAGCAGCTGTAATGTTAGCAAATCAGATTCATTAGGAAATTTTATCACAACAATTTTATATTAATCATGTATTTCAGAGTATCCATCTTGAGGAAAGAGCATAAATAATTATTTGTGGATTCCAAAGTCCTGAATAAATTATGGAGCAAAAGGTTAGGAAAAAGCAGGGGAAAAAAGGCTGATAGAGTATGCTCAGTGAATAAGGCAGATTGTGTTTGGGAACTGACTGTGCTACTTGGAGACTATAACATCTCTAAAGAATAAAAATCTGTGGATGATTCTAGCCTCCATCACATACAGAAAACCAATCTTATCATTTATCACCTATGAGAATTAGAATGACTTCCTACAGGGGGCTTTGCTGTCTGCTCACCCGCCCTGCTCCTGTACCTGGCGGAGCAGTGGTCCAGGCAAGTTAGGCCTGTGACTTCCCAGCTTGTGCTGAGCTGTGCTGCCTGTCCAGCCTGGCCTCCGGGCCCACAGGGGATAAATTTCCCTGGCTGATTGTCCCACAGGATTTTTTGGGCAGGTCCTATGTGGTGCCTGCAATGACAACCCCTGCATGCCCTGTGCTTCGTCTGAAAATGGCAGCAAAGGGTTCTGGTGTGAACATGTTTTATGTTGGCCATAGAAACAATGTACAGAGTTATCTCCTTGTACAAAAATCCTCTAATAGCTTGAATGACCAAAATGGTGTAAATTTTCCATGGGCAGGATCTGTGTGACGTGCTGCACCTGGTTGATGCTGGGCAGCCCAGGGTTCCTGAAGGAATGTAAGGTTATCTACACTGTTCTCTCCATTATAATGTTGGCTGCAATAAATGGTATTTTAAGTGACACTTTAGAATCTGAGTGCCTTTTTACTGGAATCACAATAAATCAGCACCACCTGGTACAAAGGAGTTGTCAAACTGTACTGCCAGAACACTTTGAGTGCTGTTTTTGTTCTGATGATGTAATTGACTGAAGACTAAAATTGGGCAAAACCTATTTTTTTTCTGATTATGTTTATTATGTGTCTTGAGTTTGGGATCCTAATGGTTCTGCGTGAAATCTGTGAAAATAAAACCTTCAAGTGATCATGGGCTGTGTTATGTGAATGACAGTCTCAGTGTTCAGAGCAATGTATGTGGGTTACAGGGAGACACAGATGTGTGAACTTCTCTATCACTTGCAGGAAATACTGCATGCAGGAGTCCTATTTCTGACCCTCTGTCAGTCAGTAAGCGTTAGAGAGTTTTGTACCTTCTAAGACCACACCCATCACCCCTCACTTCTTCTCCCCCATTGTCCTTTTCTGCACAATAAGCACACAGAGATGCTCTCAGTGCATGGCTCCTGTTTGGGCCTAGGGCTTCAGTGCATTTGGGGTTTGGATCCTGGCTGTGTTGCTGACATGATTTATGGTATTTGCTGTTCAGACTGAAATGCTGAAGACATCCATCAAGAGGTACAAAGAGGCCATTCCATTTCTCTCCCCAAAGCCGGTCTGAAGAGGTATTTTTGGCTAAGTAGACCAACAAACACAGCACTTAGCAAAAAACCAGGGACTCATACATGGAAAAAAGACCATTGAGATCACAGCACATGCATCATAAATAACAATTTTCTTTCCCTACAACATGCAGAAGAAATTAAGCAGAAATTAATTTTGTTTTAATAATCTCTGTTGATGTCCTTGCACAGCTGCTGCCCTTACCAGTGCTTATTCCCAACCCACAGCATTAAGGAAGACTTAGCACAAAAAAACTACCCCAAACACCCAAAGAAAACTTCCAACAGCACAATTCCTTCCTCTTTGTCAGGTTTCTGCCCTGGAGGTAGTGGAGCAGGAGGTTTTTTAGCTCTCCCCCTGCACTGGGATTGCACTGCACTCTCTCCAGCTGTGTGCAGCCTTCCTTCCAAGCTGTTTGTGGCGTAGGAAAATTCCAAGAGGAAAGCTGCTCTCCTTACTTATCCTGCTGGGAACATTGGACCTGACGCTTTCGTAAACTACATTCATAGACTCAGCAGGCTGGGGCACAGCGGTGGCGGCGGGCGCGGGCCGGGAGCGGGCCGGCCATGGTGGGGCTCAAGGAGGAGCTGCTCAAGTCCATCTGGCACGCCTTCACCGCCCTCGACCTCGACCGCAGCGGGAAGGTCTCCAAGTCCCAGCTCAAGGCAAGCGGGGGGCGGCCAGCCCGGTGGGGTGCGAGGGGTCGGTCCCCGCCGAGCGCTGGCACGGCGGGCACGGGGCGCGGGCTGGGACCTGCCTGCGGCGGCCGCCTCTGGGGGCACACGGGCGCTCGCTTTCGGGGCTCTCCTGGCGCTGTAAATCGCGTTCTCCCCAGCGTTCGTCCCGCGGCATCGCTGTCCCTGCGGGCCCCGGCCACCTCCGTCCCGCGGGGGCTGGCGCGGACCCGTCCTGGAGCCCGGGCGGGCTGATTTTCATTCCGCTCCGTCCTCCCCGAGATGTCAGCGCACAAACCCTTGTTGTGCTTCTGGTCCGCTTTCAACCACATGTCCTTGCTACCCTTTCTGGCCAAAATCTTTTGTGGGGTAGCCACAAGGTCCCATCTATAGGGCTTGGCTGCGTCCAAGTGAAATTCACAGCTTGCCAAGGGGAGAGAGAGGTTCCACAGTGCCCTCTTATTTGGATATAAACAGGAGAATTAGTCAAGAGGCTCCAACTGTGCCATTCTTTCCTTAGCTTACACGCTGAAGTAGTGTTTGTGCTCTTAAAAGAGCTCTCAGGCAGCTCGCTGAATCCAGTCCCGTCTTGGCCCTGCTTTATGGGACCGTCTTGGCCTGGGAATAATAGCAGGAATCTGGCTAAATAAATATTTTGAATAAGAACGCAACACCTGTTGACATTCGAGACTGTGGGTCCTTGTGTTCGGTGCTGGGGCTGCGTGGGCAGCAGCAATCAGCGAGGTTTGCGCCTTTCGTGGGATTAACTCCACCAGCGACGCTGGCCGTGCTGTGGGTGCTATTTGCAAGCGTGGCTGGTCGCTCATGGACTTTATTTTTAGCATTATGTAATGAGGGTCCGGACCTGGCAGCGTGCTGCAAGCAGCCTGTTCCTCTTCTCCTTTTCTTCTGCTGGGGTGATGGGGCTGTGAGATAGGGCCGAGCTCGGCCAGAAGTGACTGCGGGGCAGGATTTGGGCCAGACGCCAGGCCTGGCTGTGAACTCGAGCTGAAAATGTGTGCAGGTTTTTCACAGGGGGTGTCAATGACAGTGAGTCTTTGTCTTCCAGCCTTGCAGGACGAACTGAAGCAGGTTGCAGAGAAGGTTTTTTTAAAATCATCCTACTTTTTATAGGAATCCTGTTTTCCTGTCATGCTGCCTACCACACCTGGTGAGCTCCATGCACTCGCCCGAGGGTGTGTGCAGATGTCATCGTGCAGGCCAGTGCAAAACCTCAGGTGGGGCTGGGGTGATAGAATGGTCTCTTCGAGCCAGGTCTTATAAGCTCTTGGAGATCTATGTCACACTTGAGATAGCCCAGGTGATATAATGGTCTCTTTGAGCCAGGTCTTACAAGCTCTTGGAGATCTGTGTCACACTTGAGATAGCCCAGCTACTTCAGATAGTATAAAATCAGCAGGATGGCTTCTGTGGCAGTGTTGGAAACAGAAAAGTTTTAATAAAAGGCAAAATAACAAAGCTCTTTACAAATAATAATAACAAAGCTCAGAGAAAAACCGAGCTAAGTGTAAGAGGCTCTTGCTCCTGGTAAAACACCTCACAAAAGTGATTAGTTCCTTTGTTGTCTTCTTTTTCTAGTAAACTGCTTAGGCAGGACTTTTTGGCTTCTGTGTAGTTGGCTATCCTTAAGTTTGAGGTGAAGTCCATAAGGTCCTATGAGGTGTCTTTTTACCTAATTGAGGAAACTTTTGAGCTTTTTTTCCTTTTTAAGGAGACAAAAATATAATTTTGTCACTCCATCAGCAAAGGGCACATTCCTACACTCAGATTCTGGGCTGAATGAAATGGCTGCAGAAGCTGCCAGTGTGCTGGTACAGTGTCATCAAGAAAAGCAGGGCTTTGTGTGTTTGTGCAGTTCTGTCTGTGACATAAAGGCTCCTGTGGGAAGTGTCATGAGGTTGCCACCTTCTCCTGTGGCCACCAAGAATTAGTTTTCAGGAGGGAGTAGAGGGTGTTCTTGCGTAGACTTTTTGTGGCAAATGCTGAATGTGGTGTCAAACTGATGGTCCTGCTGGGGAGAAAAGGTGTGCAGGGTGGCAGTAGCCCTGCATAGTTAAAAAGGGCAGGCAGGACAGCAAAAGAGAAGTTCCAGTATGACAGAGATAGGACTGTGTTGTCCTTAGAAGGTATTTCCCAATGAAGTGTTTCTCATCATCATGAGGAAGATACAGCACTCCTGTAAAATGGAGTGCTGATGCTTGCAGACCAACAGGTTAGTAGAGATCTGTGACATTAGAAAAATATGCTTAATAATTGAGTGGAATGGCTTTTTTTAAAACTGATAAAAACCTTTTTGTTTTGTGAGAATGGCAGTGTTGTAACCTGCTGAACTGTTCCCTTCTCAGTAAGAAAACCTACTGGCCATGTGTCTTTGGTTTGTGTGATCCAGTATAAGGTGGTGCCATCACATTGCAGGGAAGTTCCTAAGGATAATACATTTGGTTGTTAAAGGAACTGATTTTTAGTTACTCTGCCTAGAAGTGACCTTTGATCCTTCCATAAAAATAAATAATTAACTTAAATACTATGAGAAAAATAAATATATGTGTGTGTGTGTATTCTGTAGTTGAGGGCCTACTGCAAAGGGTTTGCATCACACATTTGTTTTCAGTAGATCTAGAGCAGATGGATGGAGGTGAGTCAGTTTGGTCTGTTTTGTAGTCTGGAGAAACAGCAAATGCTTGAGGGCAAAAATGGGACTTGCTTGGAATAGTAAGGATGTTATGAGATGTCTTTTATCCATTTGTATCTTTTGCATATGTTCTGAGCTGCTGAGAGAGGAGACAGTCAAATCAGTCCTCAGTGTAATTTTGAATATTGTCTTCTTACAGTATGTACTGATTTTTTTCTTTGTTTGTTTGGATTTTTTCATTTTTTTTCAACTGGTAGTCTTCAGAAGTTCTACTGGCATGCTGGCTGCAGCTCTTAGTCTCTTTTTCTACATCAGCAGAAACATTTGTGTATTCTGTTCTTAAATTACAGCTTTAAAGCTGGACACAGTCATTGTTTTGCCAGTATGTTTTTTGGCACCTTCAAACACTGATACAGCAAGGCTCAGGTGTAAGTTCTGTGTACACAGTTTCAGCTGCTGCTGTGATTCCAGCACGAGCTACATCCAAATTGTTTCCTTTCCTATACTTAGATCCAATTTCATCTTTCTTACCATCTGCAATTTTTAAATTAATTTGTTTTAGAAGTTTCTGTAAGGGTACCAGCATTAAATCCAGTTTTTAACTGGATCTTGAAACACTGTAGTTTTACATATGGTTCCACTTGACAGCCAGCAAAATTGTGTGTAGTGTGTGTATGATTGGATCTTGGAAAAATCCACCAATTAGTTTTTACACCCGCTCTGGAAGCTCTTCCGCTTGTTGCTTTGTGACTTGTCTCTGCTTAGGCAGTGGGTTTATTTTGGTGTTCTTGTTTTCCGTGCTGCACTGGGGGGCATTTTTTAAGTCTTGAGGTCTTGGACTCCTGGATGCTATCTGCAGAATGTGGATGGTGAGCCACATGTGCAAATACTGTCTCACTCAGGCGTGTATTGTAACTTTGGGTGACCAGAACTACTTGTCAGGCTTAGAAAATTCATACCGGTCTGTTCCCATATCTGGGGTGTTAGAGGCTTGTCATACCTCTTGCCTTTGCTTTGCTTTTCACCTAGATGAGAAGTTGGTGGCCTGTGGGAAGAGGAAGAATGGTGTAATCAGGGGTGAGAGGGATGGTCTGACCACAGAGGAAGACCTTGAACAATGCAGTGAGGCAGGGGCAGGGGTGGGAGCCTGCGCCGAGTGGGCAGGACCCTGGCTGGACAATCGGCTTTGTGCAGCCGTGCAGAGCAGTAGGAAATTAGTCACTGTGACTCACAGTGGGGGACAGGGTCCTGCTCTGGGGCTCTCAGTGGGGCTCACAGTGTGTGTATTAGGGTAGCCATGAGCAGTGCTGTCGGTGAGGTGTGAGGGAGGGATGCTGTTGTGCCTGGAAAGCCCAGGCAGCCTGTAGACTGAAACAGGGAGCATGAGGAAATGACAGGGCCATGAGGCTGTCATGACAGGAGCAGCTCCCAGTGGATCAGCAGCCTGTTTAACCTTGAGCCAGCCTGTGCCCAGGTGGCCAAGGCAGCCAGTGGCATCCTGGCCTGGATCAGCAATAATGTGGCCAGCAGGACCAGGGCAGGGATTGTCCCCTGTACCGGGCACTGGTGAGGGCACACCTCGAGTGCTGTGTCCAGTTCTGGACCTCTCAGTTTAGGAAGGAAATTGAGGTGCTGGAGCAAGTCCAGAGAGGGGCAGGAAAGGTGGTGAAGTGTTTGGAGCACAAGTCCTGTGAGGAGCAGCTGAGGGAGCTGGGGGTGTTTAGCCTGGAGAAAAGGAGGCTCAGCGGTGACCTTACCACCCCACAACTGCCTGAAGAGAGCTTGTAGCCAGGTGGGGATAGGTCTCTTCTTCCAGGCAACCAGCAAGAGGACAAAAGCTTAAGCTGCACCACAGGAGAGGTTCAGGTTGGACATCAGGAAGAATCTTTTCACAGAGGGGCTGATTAGATGTTGGAATAGGCTGCTCAGGGAGGTGATGGAGTCTCTGGAGGTGTTTAAGGAAAGACTGGACGTGGTTGGTCTGGTTGACATGGTGGTGTTCAGTCATAGGTTGGACTTGATGATCTCAGAGGTCTTTTTCAGCCTAATGCATTCTGTGATTCTGTTTTGTCAACTGATTTCAGGGCACATGTCGAAGAAAGGTGCAGTACATGGAGTATGTTTACAAAGAGCTCTTCTTAAGGGTTGGGAGCCCCAGGACAGAAAGGCAATTCCCTTGGCTACCTGGGCAGATGAGGGCTGACACCAGGATGTGACTGGAGGCCAGGGGGGATTATGCAGATAATGAAGGCAAAAGGAAGGGTGAGGTTATTGAAAATGGTGATGAGGGGTGTGCAAATGCCCAGGGGTGAAAGGAGCGAATGAAGGAATGGGAGCTGATGTGGGCAAAGGGCGCAAGTGTCAGGAACCTGGGCTGGTGGAGGCTGGGCTGGAATACACTCATCCAGCTGGGAAAGAGGCTGCTGCAGTAACCCTGATGGTAAATAATGAGGCACCAGATGGGGTATGTGCTACCTGAGTGTAAGGAAGCTGGACCTTGGGGGTGTGATGATGCAGGATATGGTGTACGTACGATGTACCCTGGATGAAAAGCCCTGGTTCTTGTGACAAGGGCTATATGATGCTACTTTTAACACTGGTAGTAAAAGAAAAAGGGAAAGTGCTTGTGAGTAGCCTTATTTTGGCTGGCTGGCTGGCTGCTGACATGGATGTTAGGGAGAGATGAGCCAAGAATGTCTTGGAATGAATTCACACGAAGCCACTGAATAGAGCTGTCGGGATCTGGGATGCCAACATTTTAAAATCTGAAAAAGAGACTGGGAGTGGGAAGACTCCCCAGAAAGATGGAAAAGAAAAAGAGAAAACTACCAAGAAGCTGACAATAGCTACTGCAGGATTAGTCTGCCCTGGTAATGCTCCCACTGTCATCTGGGCCAAATTTTTGTCACTGAGCAGTAAGTAGTCTAGCAGATCCTCCCTCTCCCTGTAGAAATGCAGATCCCTCTTATGGGACATGGTTAAATGAAACTACTCAGATGGTAACAATTCAACACGTGCTGAAAGTTTTGGAAAATGGGAACTCAAGAAGGGAGCAGCTCTGGCAGAGTAGACCTGAAGATAAAGCAGCATGAAACAGGGCATAAATAAAGTAAATCCAAAGTCTGCGATGACCTTTGGCCTTCAGCTTGCTTGTGTTTCTGTTTGGAACAGAACGCCTTCAGTGTTCCTAGGGAAAGATGGGATCTTTCTTACAAAACTGGTCCGTGAGAGTGAAGGATTGTTGTACCTGGAGTGCATTGGTGTTGTGAACCCCCTGCAGGCTGCCTGTGCTGTCTCTCACCCCAATCTGGGGACCTCCACTGTGCCCATGTGCTGCAGCAGAATGAGTCTCTGGGCTGGGGCAGGAGTTGGCTTTGGCATGAAGGTAAATTGTTAAATGTGGCATCCAGAGCATGATAAATGAGGAAGGAGAAAGCTGCCTGGCAACCCTGTGGGCACTGGGGGAATAATCCTGACTGCTGCAAAACTTCCTCATGGTTGGTGTATCTTCTGCAAGGCAAGGTGATTCTTCTGTGCCCCAGTTAGTCTAGTGCTCAGATACTTGTTAGGGTTTTTTAAAAATTGTTAATTAACATAGAGTATCTTCTGGTCCAGATAATGTGATTTGAGAGAACAAAACCAAACCAAACAAGACCTCAGGGCAGAGTTTTTCTTGCTCACCCTGCACGTGAAGAATTGAGCTGGCGCTTGGCCGCGTTTGAGAACGGCAGGCCTTGGCAGGCGCCGAGGAATTTCCTGAGTTATGAAAGGAGAGCACTGGGCACCAGAGAGATCACAGATAAGGCAGATCTTAGAAAATCATTGAAAGTGGAATTCTTTCCTGGTAAGTTGGGTCACTTGATGTGGAAAGCACCTAGGTTTCTGACAGCCCAAGCACAGCAAGAACACCAAAAAAAGGAGAAGACAAATATGTAGAAAGCACATGATAAGAAAGTATTTTATCAAGACTTTTTCATTTACTTTGGTAGTAGCTGAAATCAGTCATGCTTTCAGAATATTTGTGTTAACTGAGTATTTTTTTAATTATAGTATTAGGAATTCCAGTGTGGTTGGAAAACAGTGATCATCTCTCTCTCTCTCTCAGAAATTCAAGAATCCCTCAGGCTTCTAAAAATAACAGCAGAAGCCTTAAATAGAAGGGGAAACACACATGATAGTACATTCCCCCAACCCCACATGTAAATCACGTGGACTCAAATACTTGATCTGGTTAGAGACAAGGATGGATTGAAGTGAAATATACTGTTGATAGTGGTGTGAAATGTGATAACTTGTAAATGCTCTTTTGCTGCTTTGGGAAGTGTTGTGCTATGACTGATGCTGTGGTTTAACTCTTTATGAATTTCTAGACCTTATTAGCACTAATGCCTTAGTGTTAGCATACATCTGTGAAAATACGTATTTCTCATGGAAATGTCTCCTTTTCTGAAAGCAAGTTTAACTTCGGCGGTATGTAGAGAGGAATTCTCTGAACTGAATATACATCTTGGCCTATCTTTGTAATATTTTCTGCTAACTAACACAGAGATTTTGCTGTCTCCTTATCATGCATCAGAATAGTAAATGTACATTTTCTTTTTTCTTGGGGGTAGGTGGGTGGGGGAAAGCCCAGACATTTTAAGTGTGTAGCTTTGGTTTGATTTCCTAGGCTTTGACAACTTCAGACTTTCACTTCTTCTTTTACAACTACTTCATCTTTGACCATCTTTCATGTCTACTCACCTAAATAGACATGCTTATAAGTTTTCTGCACATTTGTTTTTTTTACTGTTTTCTCTTTGCATCATTTTGGTCTGTTTTTTAAAATTCTACATAAAAACCGCAAAATTCAGTTGCACTTTGTCCCACGTAGTTGTTGATTTAAAAAAAAAAAAAATAATAGCACTGGCAGCATACCTTTTGAAAAGATGTGATCTGTTTTACCTTTGTGTAATTTTTTTTTAGCTGTATTTTTGGCCTTTTAAACACTTTTTTCCACACAAACTGTGGCAGGGCGTGTAGTATTAAATCCTTAACCCAGCTGATGTTGGTAGTACATAATCTTCAGAGACTCAGCTCTGCATCATGCCGAGGGGTGATGTGGGCAGCCTGTCACAGGTCTGACCTGACCCCAGACAGTGTGAACAGCCAGAGGAAGGGATGGTTTTTTAAATTGTTTTGCTGTTTTTTAGGAAGTGCTGGCAGCACAGGAGTCACTCCTGCCCAGGCTTTGCCTTCCTGTTGGTACTGAGGTGTTGGTTTGTGTTTGCAAAGCTCAGCTGAAGAAATTGAGATGTGCTGGCAAGTTAGTTTTTAGTAATTCAGTACTTCCTTAAAATTAGTCAAGTGTGTAGTCTCTTCTTGAAGGTCATTTCTCAAGAACAGACACGAGTGTTAGTGGTTGTCAAGTTCGTGACATACTTCATGCAAATAGCTTTTTAAAATAAAAATTTGAGAAGCACACCTAAACCCTTCCTCTTTCTGTAACATTACTTTCCTTTGCCAACTGAAACATGGGGTCAGTGTTGAGAAGCAGCCCAAAAGCAAGCAGATGAGAGAAATCCATAGTTAATGCTTTAATATGAATAGTCTTTTCTTTGTAAACTAAAGCTACATATTGAGTTGTTTTCTTTGTTACTCATTTTCACTAGATATAAATATTTATACTTTCAAAGGCTAGGTGTTTGTGGTTGTTTTGATAGCTATCTGACTTCACTCTGCAAATATTATTCTGGTGTTCCTGCATGCCTCTCCTGGTTTTCAGCTGCATGGGGATATATGTACAAAGGGGAGCTTGTGTGGCTGCATTTGTAGCTCTCTGGGCCTGGACCTCTCTGTGCTCACGTTGCTTCTGTAACAATCAACTCTCTGAAACCATCAAATCAGGATTTTTTTAGTTATGTGTTGCAAAACTTTGTGGGGCAGAACTTGTGGTGACATCGAAGTGTCACTTTGCACATGGTTTTGGAGTCACAGGTCTGCTCTGGAGGGAACACACCATGGTTAAGGCTGACAGCAGTGTCACTGGTTTCTCTTCTCTCCTTAGGTCCTTTCTCACAACTTGTGCACAGTGTTAAACGTTCCCCATGATCCAGTGGCCTTGGAAGAGCACTTCAGGGATGATGACGAAGGACCAGTTTCCAATCAGGGTTACATGCCTTATCTAAACAAATTCATCTTGGAAAAGGTAAGTTTTGAATTCTCATGTTCTGTGCTTTCTTGTATCAGCTTTTGTTGGTAGAGTGTCTTTGTAGTACCTGTGCCTGCAGGAGGCTGCTGCTGGTGTGAAGACACTGGTTGGGAGTGTGTCTGTGGGGTCCTCACAGCGTGGCTACTCTGGAGAGCCTGTGCCTAAAAATGGAAGGGTGCACTGCTCTCTACATCTTCTGTCCTTGGTTTCTATTTCCTGTTACATCTGGCCCTTACCTAAGCTGTGTTCATGCAGAACTGTGCTCATATTAGTAAAGTGTAACTATGCAGTTTGTGGGGATTGGGAGTGGGGCTGAGCCTCATCCCCAGTGGGTGCAGCTGTGCAGAGCAGGTGAGCGGTGTTGAAGGCAATGAGCCATGGGGTGCTGAGGTGTTACTGACCAACCACCAAAGGGAGCAGAGGGCACACAGCTGCCGTGCATGAGCATGAGGGGTGTGAAAGGCTGGGCTGGAGGACAAGAAGGGCAGAGCTTGCAGCCTTCTGAAATAGTGTGGGGATACTCTGGGTATTGCAGCTGTCTCAACTGGGACATGTGCTGTGACAATAAAGCACCTCCACCTGAATTTATCTGAAAGTGTCTGGGAGCTGTAGGTTGTCCCACTTTATACTGCAGCTATAACAAAATATAGTCACAGGCTCCTTTGCAAACAGAAGGGTGAAAGTATCTGCACTGTTTTAATGAGTAGATCCCTTCAGAGAGTTACAGTGGGTGACATTAGGGAGTGTTGTGAAGTTTTGTCTTGCAAGATCTTTCCTTTCATGTCTGAGCATTTTTCAGTCTTCTGTTATGCCTTGTTTCAGGAGAAACTCTGGAAAGCCAGCAGGGCTTTGCCCTCTTCTGCTCTCCTCTCCATCATGTTCTAAAATCACTGGGTTGGAAAGTTAGGAAGCCCCAAACAATGATCTTACTGCTTTTTTTCTGACTTCTGTTCATGTACTGGGCTGGACAGCGAAAGCAGCTCATGTGATACTGGAAACATCAGCTTCAACACCACTGATTTCTTGTACACTTGAGGGCCAGCCCCAGAAACGCTCAAACTTTGATGTTGTGGCTGCAGAGATACAGAGCTGTTTGCTCTCTTTTGTTTTGTGAAGAAGTCCTGAACTGATACACTCCCAAGAAGTCTGGTGCAGAAATTGCAGATGATGCAAACTCTTCGGCCCCATTTGCTGATATCTGCTCCTTCATTTAATAGTGGTGGAAAATGTGATACATAAAATGCAATCTGGCAGCTTATATCTAGCTTATGTGCTTCTATCTAGTTTATCAGCTTCTCTGCCTCTCCAGTCTGTGTTTCTCTCCCACCCAAAGCGTATGAGAGGCACCCAGGAGTGTCCTGTTTGATTGTGGGAGTTGTTGGCCTTTAATACACATAAAAGTACCTCATTATTGTCTTGATTGTTTGATGCTGAAGAATCCTGCTTTGTCCCTAAGAAGTTGTGATAGCCTTCCTGCTTCATCTTGGCTGTCTGAGATCCTGTGGAGAACAAGCAGTCTTTTTTTCCAAATTCTAGGAAAAAAGAAAAGGCCTTAATTTATTTTGACCGAAGCAGTACAGTGGGAGAGGCCACAGTAGCAAGCCATTAAGTAAAGAAAACCCAAGAAATATGTATGGCTTTTTCAAATGTAAAAATGCTTTCTTGTTAAAGGGTGTTTCTAGGGAGAATAATCATGGAAATGAAGAGCAAAATGGCATTTAAGTAACACTTTTATATTAAAATGACAGACCTGGCTATGTAAGTAAGTAGATATGAAAGAGAAGAGCATGACTGTGTATAATTTCTTGTTTTGTTTTATTCATATACTGGTCTGGCTTCCAGTGATTGCTTGATATGTCCATATCATCAGTTAATCTTAAAAGATTAAAGTGTTAAGGAAGAGGGTTAAATTATCTATAACTTGATGTTATTTGATCTTGACTAAATGCTTGTAAATAAGAAAATTAGTGAAGTTGTTTGGACAGAAGACTATCTTTTTGGACAGGAAAAATCTTGTCTGTGACTTCTTTTAGAGATGAGTTTACATCAGTGCCAAAAGACAACATGCAGTGGGATGAAGTCACTGATTCATTGCGTGTCTCCTTTGTTTAAAACAAACAAACAAACAAAAGCAAACAAGAAACTCCTTCTTTATTTTTTCAAGGCGTAATCTGTTATTTTATGGGGTGATGGTAGAAAAATTGCTGTTAGTATATTCTGGTAAGCAAAGCTACTAAAGGAGGACTGATGCTTTATACCCCAGATACACGGGAAGTTCTCTCAGTCTCCAGTCATGCATCTTACAGCGAATTAATTGATTCGAGCAAGAGCCACTGGCTCAAGAAAGGTTTTTTGATCTTAAGATATTTTGCTTTAAGACATTAATAAATATTTTATGAACGATTTCTTAAATTTCTTTTAAAATAGTTATATAGCTGTGACTTAGAATTTTATTGAGAGGACTTTGTAACCTTTGGAAATAACTTGTGCTGTACTCTTAAATGCAGTTGTAACTTTTTGTATTTTTTCTCGTGCTGACTTACCCTGCAATAAAGCTTCCTTATGTAGAACCAGAGAATCATCAAGAAAGGGACAATTGTGAAGAAAGACAAGGTAGTTAAGTGAGATACATTTGCTACAACTAATTTCCTTTATCCACATAGGTAATTTCAATAAATGATTTGAATAATTAGTATTGTCTGATTGATGATTTCCAGTGTTATGCATGTTGTTACTCAGCAGATAGAATTTTCTTGCATCTGCAACAAAACCTGTCTTGTTCTGTAAATGTCTCTTTCAGGAGGGAGCTGTGATTTGCCAATGTAGTGTCTCATCCTTTGTTTTACTTGGTTCCTTAACCATATTTTAGCATGTTCTGTTATTTACAATGTCTGTCTTTAAATACCAATTGGAAATGTTTCCCTTTCAGTGATGGCAGTGGTGGTATTTTACAGGTGGCCTTATTTAGAGCAGGGAAGACTCCTGGTGAGGAGAGACAAAGAAGGACATTGTTCAAACCTCAGGTTATCTCATCTTCCAGGCAACTTCATGAATGCAAGTTACACTACCAATGCTTGTTATATTTTTGGAACTGTTATTTTGGAGAGCCAGGGCTCAAGTGCTGATGTAATTATTGTCCTGAATAATTCCTAAACAGTGTCTCTGTTCTGGATGCCGCGTGGGCCCCACAAAGTCCATTTCAGAACCAAGTCTGGATTCTGAGAAAAGTGCTTACATGTCTAAAGTGGGATTGCTGGCACTGTGGGACCTCTTCCCCTGTGGTAAAATGGTTCTGAAACTTCCTGCTCAACTGGTGCACAGTCCTGGTGGCAGGGATGTGCTGCAGGTGACCTGGGCTTTGACAGGAGTGTCTGAGGGGCTGCAGTCCTGCTTTGCTGTGGTAGCAGGACCCATGCACCACCAGGACGTTTCCAAGGTGGAACTCCTCACTGTCAGGGTGGGAAAAACACTTTTAGAAAAGAAGTCCTGGTTCATTGGGCAAGGTGGAGAGGACACAGAAAAAGCACAGGCAAGGGTAGCCAAGGAGTGAAGTGATGATGAATAGAATGAAGGAATCCTGACTTCTAGCCCTTTTCCAGAGGGTGTTTGTTCATTCAGTCAGTGTTTCATTCAAGATCTGTGTTTCTTGTGCAAACAAGACAGATGCTGAACTTGTGGCTGGGGTAGCTCTGGCTCCTACAGCTGCCACCTCATTCAAAGGACAGCTGTAGCCTCTTGCATCTCCACTCACGTTGGTGGCCTCTGCAAGCATGCAAAGTCTATGATTTTTGTTGCTAGTCTCACTCTTATGCCTGGAGACTGTTCTTGTCATCAGGTTTCTTGTTTACTTCTGTCTTTCTTTTTTTATCTTTTTCCCCCTCTTTTTCCCCTCCACCCACATCAATTCATCAGCTTCCTGTGTCTGTCACTGACTGGGCCAGTGTGGTGTGGTCACTGTATTTGACTGCTTACCAGACTAGGTAGGAAATCCGACAGTTTGCACTGGTGTTCTTCAAGCACCTGAGATCTGTGGTTTGGCTTATCATTAAAAAATCATTGACCATTACTGGTCTCACTACCACAAGAGGTACAAGAACTTGTTCCTTAGATGTGTTTTCCAAAATCTCAAAGGGGCTTCCATTACAGTGTCAAACATGCCTTAATCAGTAACACATTGGTAAAGAAATACCACTGCTAAGTTATGGGAAGATAATAAATAGGTTTAATGTGTAACTTAAACAAGGGTTTAAAAACAAAACTGTAAATTAGAGGTCTTGCCTATATAAATAATTCACAGATCTGTAGATGCAGCTGCTAGATGTGATAAAGGATAATGAAAACAAGAGGAATTTTTGTATCAATGAGGTGAAGGTCTGCAAACCTGAGAAAAAGCAAAGATTTTAAGTGAATTAGTATTTGAGGAAAAAAATGATTCTGTGTTTATGAATACTCTGCAAGAGTTAGTTTGAGTAATGTGAGGTAAAAAACACACTGAAGGTCCTTCCCAGCTGCTGCTCCAGTATTGCTTTTAGCATATCCACATGTGGATTTGGCTATGCTGGTTTCCAAATTTGCTATATAAAATCTCAGTAAGTCAGTGCAATAGGAGGGCAGCTGGAACTAAGTTGTGGAGATGGTTTGGAAGCTGATGTGGCAGAGGAAACACAGAGTGCACTGTAACCTCCTTTCCATGGAGTCAGAGTGTAATTACCTCAACCAGAAATTGGGGGTTGGATGTCAGTTTTGCTAGGAGGAATTCCTTATTTTACCCCATGCAGGAAGTCAGAATAGGTTGTTACAGTGCTCTTTTTGGGCTTTGGTGTTTTGTGCAAATTACAATTTTCTTACTGCTTTTTGTATGATGAAACCTGACAAACATTGTTTATCTGCTATTCTGTGCCATTTGTGCATATCAATTTCTTTGTTGTTCTTCAATTTCTTCTCTTTAGGTTCAAGGGAACTTTGACAAAGTTGAATTCAACAGGATGTGCTGGACTCTCTGTGCTAAAAAGAATCTCTCTAAAAGTCCTTTGCTGATTAGCGATGAAGATGCATTTAAAGTGTGGGTTATTTTTAACTTCTTGTCAGAGGACAAATACCCTTTAATCATTGTACCTGAGGAGGTAAGAAACAAAAGCTCTTTAACACCAGTTTGCCTAATGTCTCAGTTGAATTGTGTAAAGTGTGGTACTCTCTAGAGATTTAAGAGGAAATATTGTTTAATTTAAAAGTTTTATTCCCCTCTTTTAGTATTGTAAGGTCTCAGGTGCATTTCTGTGTCTTCCAGGGTGGATGGATATATGGGGATTTCCACAGGATTCTTGAGATATTGATAGCTCTGTGTGACTGTCATGTAAACAGCCTGGACTCAACAGGATAAACAGGACATGCATGGATGTGAACTTTAATCACTGTACTTGCTTATAGGTGGTTACAATTTTACAAGGTCTATGTGATTCTGAAAAAAAATGCCCTCATCTGTTCTGTGTTACTGTGACTTGCAAGATGACTCTTCAGTGTCATGTCACCCTCCTGATGGAAAGGACAGTACAAAATTTTCTGTTTCTGATAAGACCAGCCAGCCCCTGAACACTCTTGCTTGAAGTGTCTGAAGGAATAATACCAGAGAGATCTCTTTATACTTTCAGTTCATGAACAAGTATTGGCAGCACTCAAATAGGTATTTTAACCCTAAAGGAAGATTTTGGTATCTCCACTGTTCTCCCCTTTGGGATGAGTGGGGAAGGAAGCAGAAAGATCAGAACTATCAGCATAAATAATCCCTTGCAAAACTGTGCATGCCAATCCCAGTGGTTTGCAGTTCGGTACTGGAGGATGGAATAATAAATATTTGCAAGTTGTTGAACAGCCAGGGATCAAAACAGTCTGATTAACATGCCATTAACAACATAACTGTTGGACTCCAAGGTGTTGTGCCAAACCCTCAAGTACAGATAGCTCTCCTATCAAAATAAACTCCTCAGTTTTGCCTTCTCACTCACTTTTTAGCAGGACACTTTCATTCTGCACATTTCTGGTTTTGCCAGACTGGCCCATGCCAGGGCCCTACCTGGAATGCTGTATTCCTGTGAGAAATGAGAAAGTCCTCTTGCTTGCTGTCCCATTTGTTTCTGTTGGTTCTGGGAAGCAGGGATCATGGCTATAAAAGCTAAGACAGCTCCTTTCTTAGTGGTGCTATATTTGGCTTGGTAGGTCAAAGCCACTAAAAAAATGCCAAAACTGGGACTCGAATCCACATCTCTGGTTTGTCAGTGTGTTCCCTGCTGTGCAGCCTGGCTTACCTGTGGGCAGACATTTCCCATCTCCTGAATTGCTGGCATGGTTAAAAGCTTCAGCCCTGCCAGCTCTGGGGCATTGCTCCCCACTCCTTCTCCACCAAGGAAGCCCCAGATTGGTGCTGCCTTGTGTGGCTGCTGCCAGATAATGGCAACATGTCTGAGTGTTGGCAGATGTGCTGCAGAGTCAGCACTGAATTGAGAATTTCCTGATTTCCATATTTTGTATGTGCTGTTGTTTGCTTTCCTTCCCATCCTTAATGTCCTGGTTAGCCTGTACTGCTCTTCTACTTGGATTATTTTAAAAATTCTGATTGTGGATCTGTGTCTGCATCTCCTTGATTACAGCAAGATTTAAATTGTGCAATTTGTTTAAAGAAAGCTTACAGAGCCTGACTGACAAAGAAAGGCTGCTCTGTTCTTATCATATACAATGCCTGTATTCACTCCACCTTCCCTCAGACCACACAGGTAATGTAATCAGGCACTGGAGGAATGCTGTCTGTTGAACACCCTCCTTTCTGCTTTGCAAGGGTCCTGCATCAGGTTCTCTGTATTTCTGGAAAAATTCCCATTTACTCATCTACTCTCTGCACAAAATTCCCGAAGTAAAAATGCAAAGTCTCAGTTTCAGCCAGTTTTGCTTTTTCTCTTTTGCCTTTTTTACAAAATGCCTTGCAGGTCATGTGTACAGTGAGGGGATTTTTACAAAGTGAAGGAGAGGAGAAGGGGGATGGAAGCCCTGCTGTTTGTGCTGTTGCTGATTTGCTGAGAGCAGTGTAAACCTCTCATGTGTGACTACACTTCCCACCCAGGGAGCAGGCTCTCCTGCCCTGCCCGACTGCTGCTCTAATCCTTGGCTGAGAGTATTGCAACACACCATCTACTGCAGTTCTGGCTCAGAGATCCAGCTGTTTGTGTGGGATCCAGCTGTTCCCACTCCACCCTCCCTTCCACATTGTTGGCTTTTGTTTTGGTTATTTTTTGTTTGTTTATTTTCCACTTTATAAGTAACCGAGAAACTTGCCACATGCTTTCAGTTTGGAAGGGTGATCCCTTGAAGATTTTTGCATCCTTTCTTGAAAATTGCAAGACTTCTTTGGTCTCTAGTGAATGGATTAACACAACTTGATGTGGCTGTAAGGATGCCTTTTCTTCCTCCTTGGAGCAGCTGCTCTTTGAGACATGCTTGGGAGTCTGAATTTCCTCTTTTTTTTTTTTTTTTTTTTCTTTTTGCAGTTTTTAAAATGAGATAAGTGGTTTCTGCAGTTATTTCATAGATTTAATATCTCATATCTGGAAAAGCCTCCTGCTTGAGTGCAGTTTCACCTTACTTGCACTGTGCTGACTAAATATTGAAGCTGCTGTCTTTCCTTCTTGCCTGTGTCGTGTACTTTTGCACTGGTGCTGCTGTGCTGGGCGTTTCCTTTTGGACAGCTGAATGTGGCAGGGCTGTTACCCCCAGCTACAACGTGGAAGTCTTGATTCCCTGCCCAAGGGTTCAATGGGCAGCAAATGGCTGCAGCTCATCCAGAGAAGGGAAAGGAGGCTGCTTTGGAAAGGATTCAGAGATGCAGGCTGAGAAGAGCTTTAGAAGGAGCAACGTGAGGAAAGGAGTTACCAGGAGAGAATCTGAAAGCAGTGGAGAGGTGATGCAAGGGCCAGAAGTTGCTTGTTCAGCACAGGCCAGGCTGAAAGCCAGAGGCAGTGACTGGCCTGTGCTCCTCACCTGCCCAGGAAGGAGGGATGCCAGCCCTGCACTTGAGGGGGATAAGGTTTGTAAAGTCCAGTGTGGGGAAGGGGTTGGGTTGGGGTGCGCAGTTTTGGAATGTGACTTCAAGCTTGAGAGGATCCCTCTCAAAGTGACACAGAGACAGGAGACACAGACACAAAGACAGGGTTACAGGGAGTACTGGGCACAGCTGGGGATGGCCTTGCACTCGTGTTCCTTCTGCTGCCTACTGGTGGGCAGCTGAGAGCCCTTGGAAGAGCTGGAAAGGAACAGAGATCCATAAATGTTTATTTTGCAAAGGTGCTCATGTGCCAAGGCAGAAAGCAGGGACTGGCTGGGAGCTCCTTCCCATCCCCACAACCAGATTTTCCATTACATCATCTGAGATGCAGACATCCGAGTGTATCTTTCCTTCAGCTCTTGCAGGCATTACCTCTTCCATGAGAAGGAAATGAAGGAAAAAAGGTGGTGAGAACTGAATCCATAAGAGGAAAAATATTTCTGTTTTGTCATGAGCTTTCCTTCCAAGTCACCTCTCAGTTGTTACAGACTCATTTGTGTGTCTTGGTATTTTTTAACCAGACGTTTTCTGTTTTATAAAAAGGTTTTCAAGCACTTCTCCTTTCTTATTTCTGGACATGTGACTGCAGCCTTGGGAATGCTTTATCGCCTGAGAGCTGTGGTGTGTGGTTAGTTGTGTTTCTGGGCTGTTCTTTGTGGTGAAACTCAGAGATACACACACTGCAAGCTGCATACTCATGTTGTAATCCCATCCTCACAATTTGTTTCAAGTAAGCCAAACATATTTGCTGCTTTTGGCTTCATGGGGAAAGATTTGTACCGTAATTTTTCACTTGTCCTCTAGTCTTCAAATTTATTAACAGACGGCATTTCTAATCCTCCTAAGAGGACTAAGCCTTGTGTGGCTTTTTGTGCATGTCAAAATGAGGTGATGTTTTCTTAGCCTGGGGAGGTGAGAATCTGGTCCAGTGGTGATTCTTCTGGAGTGTGTTTTTATGACCATGTTCGCTTCCTTGTTCTGCATTCTAGTACCAGAAACTGAAACAGTGAATGAAATACTGGGAATTGACCCTTGGCCCTTCAGAAATGACATTGAAACTGATATAAAGAGAATGAAAGCTGCTTGTGTAGGCTTTTAATTGACCCATGATCTCTAAAAGTTGATGACAGTGGTTAGGAAGATTTTTAGTCTCTTGGTTAGGGAGACTGGCACCAGTTCTTCCCATTTCGCTGCCTTCTTCCTTGGCTGCTGCATGAAATGGTTTTCAGCTCACACAGCAGGGTTGTTTCTTGAGTTGACCTTTACTACACTTCACTTAGCACTGATTTAATTTTGAAAAAAAAAGAAACAAGGTAGTGGCTTACACTGGATAATGAACCTGGTTTTGCTGGTGGAAAGGAAGAAACAAATATTTTACTTAAATGTAAGTGATGTTCTGATGGGATGAAGAAAAGGAGTTGATGATGACTGTGAGAGGGGATATGCTATGACTGCTCTCATGGCTGTGGCCCAGTAACATCTACTCCCACAGAATTTTGTATAATGTGAGTAGACTTTTAACATCTGCTCTGTTAATATCACAAACCTTATTTGAATAGTGTGAACCAGAATAGCCTTGTCTGCTGTGCTCTGCTGGGCATGAAGGCCTCCTTGGCGTTATTTTTCTCATCTAAGAGACCCACTAGTATATCAGAAATATTTGTGAAAAATCTATGATGCTTCATTCCCCATGGAAGCAGGAATACCTGGAAGAGGAAAACAAATAGACACTGAAACATGGAGAAAAGAAAGTGCCCTCTGAAAGAAGCTCCCAAACAGACTCATGTTAGAGCTCTGTTCTTTGTTTTTATTTTTGATTTCTCTTGGCAAAATTCTGGCTGAAAAGTTTGAGATGGAAGCTGGTTTTGGTAGTGTGGAGCCACTGGTCCCTGCTCTTGTATGCAGTGTTAACAACTCCCTGGTATTTTTGCACCTGTGTTTTGCATACTTTTGACCTGAAAGCAAGGTCCTGTCAGAATAGCAGCAAACATCATTTCACTTTTGCTTTTTAGCTACAGGAGTAGTTTATATTTGAGACAGGAGACTTCATTTGTCAGTTATTTGCTGGGTTGACATGTCTCTGTGGAGGAGGGGAAATGTCATTTGCTCTCAGGGGTTCCTCATTTGAGTACCTAAGGAGTGGTTGCTATTTGCTTTCACACTGGTGCAACTTATTTCTTTGTATTTACCTCATACTTCCATATTCATACTGTGCAAAAGTCACTGTTGCTGTTGAGCAGATAGATCAGATAAACTTTTTCTGGGAACTTTGGTTAGCCATGTATGTGACTGAATTCAAGATAAACCTTTAATTTTTTTTTAACTTTAGAAATTGAATTGTAACATGCACAGGTCATTTTTCAGTTAAGAAGAGTTAATGTAGTTTAAAATAATGAGTATTTTATGTACTTTAGGAAGGTTGTAGGATATTTGTAGTCAGAGAAGTGACTTGTAGATGGGGGTTGGCAGACTTAAATGGTTAAATCTAATCTATGAACCAAAATAAGATAAAATGTGTACAAATGACACTAAAGGAAACAATGTGTTGACTTATTTTTAGTGTATTCTGTGATAACATGTACTAGCCAAGAGTTTTGCATTGCATCATTTCCAGACCATTAGTTTGATCCACATTTTATTTATATGGCTTGAGCAAAAATGGGAAAAAGATTGATTCAGGTGTGCTCTTTGTGTGTGTGTTCCTTTGTCTGCAAGTGAGACCTGGTACTTTTAGATAATTAACCAAAGGAATTTGAGAGCTTGATGCCTTAAGTTGCCATGCCTCAAGCAGTGTGAGAGGTTGTGAAATTTTGGAGCAATGAATTTTATAGTTAGAGTTAATTTTTTTTTAGTTACTATTACTTTGTAGCATTTTGGCAGATATATTATCTACCTAATTAAGTCTGAGTTATTTTAGCTTTCCTTCCAGTTAAAGTCCAGGATCATAGTTCAGAACTGATGCTGTTCAAAGGGAATGAGCAGAGTGGCAGAATGTGTTTTGAACATAGCTAAAAAAATCAAGGTTTTGGGAGGTTTGAAACAGCTTTTCAGTGCTCCTGTTCTTGCACTCCGTGAAGGCTTTTTTTGGGTTGGTTTTTTTTTTCTATAAAACATGCTTGGAGTAGGAAGTAAGCTGCTTCCTGCCCTTAACTGAATACTGAGGATTTATGGTAGTCAATGCTTGAAAGCCTTAAATTGTCTTTTTAACTTAAGGATTTTGGAGAGTGAAAATCAGCAAAGCTTATTTTAAAGACTGTGAATTTGAATGCCTGTTAGACCATATCTTTGCTAGTGAAAACTGCACAAGGAGCTAAATCTTACTGAAGTGTCTTACTTGGTAAAGCTGACATGAAAAACAATGCTCTCTACAATTTCTGGAGGCATATTCTGTGCCTGGCTGGGCTGTCTTCTCCTAAGAGAGACTTGAGGAGGATGTGACAGCCAAAACTTGCAGGTGTGTGCACTTCCAGTTCATTCAGGGGAACAGGAACTTTCCTCCTGGCGCTGCTTTGCATCTTCTCCTTTTTCTGCAGCACTGCCCACGCAGCCCTGGAGTAGGGGCTGTGACACCAAGAGTCACTGAGCTGAAATAGTGGGAAAAGCACATCCCTCTGCAGGGTGAATTTGGGATTTACTGTTCTACTGCACACTTGTGTTTCCTGACCATAGACATGGGGGAAAGGAAGGGATGTGGCTGTGCCTGTTGTAGGAGAGAGAAACAGCAGCCACAATATATTGAGGCCTGGGAGTCCTTGTGGGGGACAAAACCACTTCTTTCTTTTTACTCCCAAATCTCTTGCATGGAGACTCAAAAGCCTATTAGACCAGCTAAAAGGTGGCTCTGAGCTGTAGCAGGAAGGCCCTCACCTATTATTTGTTTAGAGAGTCATTAAAAGCATTTAGCATGTCCTCAAAGCTGGGTTTACTTTAAAATACTGCAGATGTAGATAGTATAGATGGGTTTACTTTAAAATACTGCAAATTAACATTGATGAATTTAAAACTAACATAAAAAAACAGACTAAAGAGCCCCAGCCTTCTTTGTTTCTTTTTCATTCTCGTGTTTGTTTTGACTAATGTTACTGGTGTTGCTGTCCTGTGCATGGTAATGTTTACAGAGTGATGAAAGATTAAAGGACAAGGAGAATTTATTTGGGAAACAAAAGCAGATGTGACAGATTTGTTCTTTTATTTCTTTTGATACAGCTGTCAGGATTGTGTCCAAGGATGGAGTGCTTGAGAGCTAGAGAAGAGGGCTCAGGTGTAGATCATACCTTGGTCGTTTTTCATTTCACTTCTAGTCCAAACAGCCTTCTTTCTTTATTTTTTTGTTATTTGTTTGATTTTTGCTTACAAAATACTTTCTGAAACTTCTTGCTTTCTCACGCTTCAGTCATTCACAATTTGGATGCCATTGCAGGGAGGGTCCCATGTGTTCTGTAGGAATCTGAAATGCTAAATGAGGCTGTCAGGTTCAATTCTTTGTTTTCACGTGAAGAGAGTAGCTGAGGGACGGGCTTGGCAGTGAAGAGCTCAGCTGAGACAGGAGCTTAAAACCTTTGTTAATTGAACCACCTACGTTTAGGGGCCTCCATGTGAGCATAGGAAACTCGCTGTAATGGGAGTCTCTGGAGAAACTTCCTTTACAGCTCTGAAACGCTTAATTTCCATGTCTGCTGCAAATGATGGATTTCTGCTTGTGTTTCTGCACAGATTGAATATTTACTTAAAAAAATCACGGAAGCAATGGGAGCAGGCTGGCAGCAGGAGCAGTTTGACCATTACAAGATTGCTCTCAACACCAGCCGAGAGGGTCTTTCTGCGTGGGAGCTCATCGACCTCATCGGGAGTGGGCAGTTCAGTAAAGGAATGGACAGGCAGACTGTGTCCATGGCCATCAATGAAGTCTTTAATGAGCTCATTCTAGATGTACTCAAGCAGGTAAGAACCACAGAGAACTAATGTTTTTAAAGTAGAATGTTTTATTGCTTTAATTAGAAAATGTTCAATTTGTGCTCAATTTTCTTTACCCTATTGAATGATGAGCAGGAGGAAATCAGGCAAATTGTCTTTAAGGGTTCTTTAATATGAGTTTATTTTTATAAAAGAAATTGTGCTGCTATTCAGATTGTTGTAATTGTAGCAGTATCATGAATGGGAGAGCTTGCTTTTAGAAAGAGAAAGAAGTGGGCTCTGACTTGAAATAATGCCTTTTTTACACTAGTACCAGCTGCTTGTTAGTTCACAGAATAGCTGCATCGTGCTCTCAGTTCTGGTGACAACTCTTCAGTCTTTGGAAATGCTTTTCTGTAGTTTCAGTTATGCTGTAGGAAATGCAGCTGTGCTGGGCACCACCTCTGTATTCAGGCAAGGGGGTCTGGACCAGGCTATTTTTGGCTTCTCAAGTGCCCCTCTGCAACAGGGAAAAAGGTGTGGAAGAGCCTCCAGAGGGCTGTCCCTTCTTGTTCTGCTTAGCAGGCTACATGTCTGACAACTTATTTACCTGCACTCAGACTCCATAAATCACACTGGCCTTTGTATTCTTAGCAAACCTCTTCAGATTTCCAGTGACTGGATTATCAGTTTAGGAATAAACTGATATTTTTTAAAATACCTTTAAAAACTGCATTTTCTTTCATGGGAATTGGAAGTACCACAGGGACCTGAGGGGTCACAGCAGAGTTTGCCTAGAGAGTTCTTTAAAATTGACTTTTACCTGACAAGAGAATTTTTTTCATCTTTGATTTCTTGGTGAGGAGAGGAAAAAATGGTTTTCTTGGCAGGCTTTCCTATGCTGTTCTGAAGAAACCATCAGAAGGTCTTGGCACAGGAAATTCTTTCAGAATACCCACAGAACAATGCATAAGTCTATTTTTGTTAACTGCTGGTTGCCTGTTGGAGGTGAGGGCTGGGGACACACACATACACAAAGTCAGTTGAGGGCAAAATGAAGTAATTCTGCTGTTTGATACCGTGAAAATAAATTAACCAGTGTCAGTTCAATCCACCTTGAAACTTGTGAGGAAATCTGATTCCTTTTCAGTTTTGATATTGCATTGTGTGTCTTCCCCCACACCTTTTTTGTTTTGGTTTGTTTTGTGTCTCCTTTCTTTCCTCTCTTGGTGCCTGGGCTTCTTTCTCAAGGATGTCTGAGTGCCTTTGAATGGTTCCTAGACACTTAAAAATAGTTTGTGTCAAGATTTGGCCCTGTGCCACCTGGGCAGTTTGGACAGTTATTGGGCTAGTGGAGAGCAGAGATCTGTGTGATTTCAGTATCCTGATACCTTGTTGATTGACAATTCTTGACAGAATTGTCCTGTTTATTGCAGTAATCACATAATTGCTTCAAGGTATTAATTAATGGCACATGGTCACATAACCAAGCGTCATGCTACCCTTTTTATTGAACACATCCTGGATCTGTAAGGCTTACAGAGGGTAGCAGCAATAGTTAAATTTGTGATATTTAGTGTTCTGCAAGATGTGTCCTTTGTGTGATGGTTGGTGTGAAAAAGCTCCTGCTTTTCAAGAGCTCTCAGTGGGTTCTTGGAAGGTGAGAGGCAGCTGGTACTGAAGTAACAGGTAAAGATATTGCAGAAATTTGAGGGGAAAGTATTAGTCTGACTTGTCTCTGAAAGCAAATTTGGTTAGTCAGGAAGGAAAAAAAAAAACCCTGGCTATGACTTAGACTGTGCAAAGCATGAAAGATTGAAGCTGCAGGAGTCCTTCACATGGCCTTGCAAGCGCCCAGAGCTCAGCCCCGAGCATGGGGGCGGCAAACAAAGCTGTGCATTCCTGCTTTGGAGCAAGGGAGTGGGATGGCACCTGGGAATAGGCACGGCCTTGGCTCTGGACTGGAAAAGCTGAGCACAGATAAGCTGTATATGTAGAGGGTGGCTTGGGTTCTAGTTTGGTTTGGTTTGTTTTTTAAATAAAAAAGCTTCTTCAACTGTTCTGAATGTTTTCTTTCCCCTCAGACTTGTAGAGAAAGATATCTTTGGATTCAATATGTCACAGAACATTTCTTTACATATATATATATATATATATGTATGTATATATTTAATACAAGCACATTTGCATGTATCAAAAACAGTTATAGATGAAAGCCATTACAGAAAAATGTTCTGTGGTTTTCTTTCCAACTTCTTCATCTTCTTAATCTGGAATACTCAGGATGCAGAATATACTTTCTATATGGCTTGTTCATAGCTTATTGATGTTGGTGTTTCAGTTTCATCTGTGATTTGATTTTTTTTGGAAGTTAAATGTCAGACAAAAATATGTAAGTATTTGGGGAATATGATTACAGAAATGGAAGGTACAGCTGAAGTACTGGCTAACTTTAAAAGTATTTGGGGCTGTGAGGTAACTTTTGTGTGCTCCGTTGGGTCTTTGCACCTTTACATAACCAAAAGACCAGGTGGTTCAGCAGTGGACAGGCATTTCAGCTGCTCTGTTGCTTTTAACAGGGCTACATGCTGAAAAAAGGTCACAAACGGAAAAATTGGATGGAACGATGGTTTGTGCTGAAACCCAATATTATTTCCTACTATGTAAGTGAAGATTTAAAGGACAAGAAGGGAGACATCATACTGGATGGCAACTGTTGTGTAGAGGTAAAACCGCTCCAAAAACTATGTATGTCTCTAAAGATCAGAATTAATCCTTTTGTGTGTGTGAGATTGACTCCTGGTATATTTTAAGAGAGCTTTTTTACTTCATATGACACCAGTTCATAAACACCTTGTAATAAAGGCTCTTAGTGCTGGTGTTTGTACCTCTGTGACCCATAAGTGAATAGATGCTGCTTGACTTTATAACTTAGATTTCAGTGTTTGCAAAGCTAATCTTTATTGTTACCCATTCTAGGCCTTGCCTGACAAAGATGGAAAGAAATGCCTTTTTCTCATAAAATGTCTTGATAAAACTTTTGAGATCAGTGCCTCTGATAAAAAGAAGAAGCAGGAATGGATTCAAGGTGAGGTTTCAAAAATGCTAGTTATGTGAAAGTTAAGGTTAGTGGAATTCTTACAGCAGTGCTTTGCTCAAATTTGAAATTCTTAGTCTTATGATTTTTGGATGTCTCTGTTTTGGGCACATGGATGTTTAAGGGGTCTGATACTCAGGAAGAACTAATGATCCACATTAGGGAAATCAGTTTTTGTCATGTAGGTGCCTCAATTCAGGCAGCCATAACCAAAATGAAATGGTTATTATTGTTGCTTTTTATATTGACTGTACTTCTAGGGATGGGGAAGGGAAGCAATGTTGTAAACCATTGCTTTTGGGGAGAAAGGGAAAGCTTGTGCATTGTGGCACTGTAAAATACTGACTTTGGTTGTACAGTTCTGCTTAAAGTAGTGTGGTTTGGTGACCTGAGCATAAAGCTGGGAATTAGGGCTTGCTTTTCTATTCCCATGGTAAAGGTGTTCCTCCTGTGAGACCTTCCCAGATATGTGATGGGTACATCCATCTGCAGAGTGAGGTAGAAGCCCTTGCAAAGCTGTTGTTGCCAATGCCATTGAAGAATGTGCAGCAATTAAATACTTGAAGCTGTGGGCTTTCATTTGCACTTCCCTCTTTACCTGCAGCGTGTGTTCATTGTACCAAAGTATGATGAATGATTCAAAAGGAGACTTTTTTTTCATGGTTGTGGTGTGTGAATAAAATACCAAAATCATCTGCCACTCCTCAGCTTTGCTGTCTTAAATATTTTGTCACTGCATGTAAGTGAATGAGAGCGACTGTCTTACTGGGAGAAACTTTTTCAGTAAACAGAAGAGTTTACAGATACTCCCTTGGAGTATCTGTAAGAATTTAGAGTTTAAGGTTGGCTCTAGGGAAGATAGATAGGTAACACCTACTTCTTGGTTAGTCGCTGAGTCTAGGTAGTAAGAAATCCTCAAGTGTTGGGGTTTTTTCTTGCAGCTGGGTATATGAGTAACTCATATGTCCATAGCCTGTTATAAATCAACATTGCAATTTACATAATGCAGTGGAATTGCATTATGTTAATTGCATTAGACCTTATCCTTGTGGCACGCAGCCAGTACTGAGAGTTGGCTTATAATCACTTATTCTTAGTGTCTTTCACTTCTGTCAACACAACTTTGTGTTGACAGCCAGCCTGATGACAATTAGGACAACTGACAACAGCGCTTTCTGATTTAAAAATACATTCAAAAATCCCCGACCCGACAGCCAGCACAGCCCAGCGCTGCAAGTCTCTTCACAAAGCCTACCCAGAAAGTTCAGCACCCCCTTCACGGTGTCCCCTCCTGTCCCTGCAGCCATCCAGAGCACGGTGAGCCTGCTGCGGGCGGGGAGCGCTCCTCCGCACAAGGAGGCGCGGCAGAAGCGCAAGGAGCTGCGGCAGAAGCTGCTGGCGGAGCAGGAGGAGCTGGAGCGGCAGATGAAGGAGCTGCAGGCGGCCAACGAGAACAAGCAGAAGGAGCTGGAGGCCGTGCGCAAGGTGGGAGCTTCCAGCCCGGAGCGCAGTGCCTGTGCCTGGGCTGGGCTTCGTGCAGTGGAGCTGGGCGTCTGTGCTCTTCAGGCACATGGAGCAGACTCCTCCAGAGGAGCTGCACTTGTTTCAAACCCTTGTGCTGAGCAGGGATTGTCAGGCTGGTGGAGAAGAGCCTGCCAGCTGTGTGGATGGTGTCTGGGGACAGGAGAGACCAATATTTTCAGTTGCTTTTGGGCTTTTTGTTTTCCTTTTCTGTCAGACATGTCTGTCAAACCTAGGGTTTCCATGAAGATTTTCTTCCATAGTTTACCCAAGTTTCGTTATGTTATTTGTGTGTTTATGGGAACTCTTCTCTGCCCACAGATTAATTTCTATAATTTCTATCTTTAAAAACAAAATATGTGGCTTTTCTTACTTTTAGTGTGGAGTGTGCCTTGAGAACACCTTAGAACCCAATATTCAAATTCAAACCCTCCCCACTTGCTGCCTTACATTTTGGCTGCTGAGTCCTTGCTGCTAAAGCAATCCAGGTCTTCCTTTCTTTACATGTCTCCACTACCTCCCTAAATTACTGTAAGTTTTTTGCATTCCCATTTAGGACAAATCTGCATCATTGCTTGAGTTTTTCGTAAATAAAACCCACCAGTTTTAGCCCTTAGAAAAAACTTCAGTGATCTTCACAGCTATAAATATTGTGAGGGCATTTAAGGTTTTGAGTCTAGAAAGCAAATAAAATTTTAAAAACCCACATTTTTTAAAGTCTTATCATTGTCACAATTTGTGGCAAGGAGAAATTTGTCTTTTTTAAAGTCAGTCTTGCACTGATAGTCCTGATGTAGGTATTATTCTGTTTGCCTTAAATGGAGTCTGACAGTGGAAAACAATTTTTAAATTTAATTTTGGCAATTACATTTGTCTACCATGTGTATACACACCATGTCTACATGTGTTTAAGATTCAGAATTCAAAATAGACAATAAAGGATAGCCTATGTTACCTTCTGCTGGTAAGTAATGTACCCATTAACAGAAACAATAAAGTTGGATTTCTGTGTTGTTTACTTTATGGAAAAATATTTAGGGGGGAAGACAGCATGAGAGCAACCCCAAAGGAGCAGTAGGATCTTGGCAGGCTCCAGGGAGTTTCATAAAAATCACAGTGGGTAAACTAAAGAGAGTTGTGGCCAGAAGCATCTTTTGAAGTGGGCTGGATTAAAATGTTTTCTCAAGGAAGGTGTCTTAGGCTCTGACATGAACTACTGCACTTTGCCTAGGTGGAACTAGGGAGGAGGTACATTGTTGGAGGAACTGAAAGGGTTTGATTAGTTAGAAAACTGTTCTTCAAGGAAAAGGCTTTGTAAATGCTTCAGGAAACTGGATTGTTCTGGGAAGCTCCAAGGTTGAGTTGCTGCTGATGGCAGTGAGCCACCATTTATGCAGCATCTGCCAAAGTGCACTCTGGGACTGGTTTCTATTCTGGTAGCTCCTGCAGTAGAGTATTCCAAAAGAATAAATGCTTTCATCTAAAATAGATTTTTTTCATATTTTTTACTGGAATTACATGTGCACATTGAACAGACAGGAAGGTAAGTTTTTTCTTGTGTGAGAGCATGCACAGGACGTGTGCACCCTTTCTGTTTCAACTGGGGTCTTGCATGGGCTTTGGAGACTCTGTGCTGTCTGTGCCTGCTGGAATGGTGTGTTCTGTTCTCTCCTCCCTCCAACACTTGTGGCTTTTCCCTGAAGTGTACAGTTCCCAGTAACCTTACCTGCTAGGAGCAGCTTTGGTGGATGAAGCAGGAAGTTGCTGATACTGAGTGGACAAAGATAATTTTCTTGTTGAGGTCTCTGGCCATGGCCTGGCACCCACCCTTGCCTGTGACTCTGCACTTTCACCCTCTCAGCTCAGTATTGGCAATGTTTGTTTAATTTCAGAGTGGGGAAGGAAATCTAGAGGAGATTTCACTTAAATAGGCATCTTGGATTTGACTACAATGCTTTTGAATGTCCTGGCAGAGGAAGAATGCTGCTTCTAAAACACTGGCATCATTTAAGCCTTGCAAAGGAGAGCAGTTCTGTGCTGTGTTCTGCAACTTAAACCCAGAAACCTGAACCTTCTCCTTCACTTCTTCCCATCTTTTGAGACCAGAGTGGTATTGCAAGCATGTAAAAGAGTGAAAGTTGTAGCTTGGCAGTTTTAATCATTGGGGCATCTCTTTAGTTCATCTAGGTTGGTGAGGGAGCATGGTTTAAACGTGGTACCTTTAGGAGCATGACAGAATCACAGAAAGGTTTGGTTTGGAAGGGACCTTAAAGATCATCCAGTCCCAGTCCTCCTGCTCTGGGCAGGGGCACCTTCCACTATTCCAGGTTGCTCCAAAGCCCATCCAGCCTGGCCTTGAATACTTTCAGGTATGAGGCATCCACAGCTTCTCTGCACAGCCTGTCCCCAGTGTCACCTTCTCTGGGCTTGCTCCAACAGGTCCCTGGCATCTTTATGTTGTGCCCTGCTCTTACTAAAGGTCTGTGGAAGCAATTTCCACAGCCCAGCATATTTTAAAAAAAGCATCAGATAAGTTTCTTAGAACAATTTTTTGAAAAAATGCTTTTGTTTTCACTCCTGGTAAAGTTTAGGCTGGTGCCTGAAGATTTCTAACCTTGCGAGGATTGAAATCCTGACAAAAGGAAAAACTGTGACCATTGTCTTTATTTGTAAAATCAAGATGCAACAAAAGTAAAATAAGATGCAAGAGGTGGAAGGGTATCAGCAGCTGTTTCCCAGGCCCTAGCTAATGTTCCTCCTAAACTCAAGTGATGATTATGGACCAGGATTTTATTTACCTTACTTGGCAGTTTAGGGGATGTTAGAGGGATGATTCACAATAGCACAATTACTTATTCTAGTCCAAGTTCCTGACACTTCTGCTTTCCCATGGCAATTCAGTGCTTCTCATTTCTGTTTCTGTATGAACTCTCTGTTTGCTAGCATGTTTTCCCTATTGGAAGTCCTATGCAATCCTGCCTGAAATGTGGTTTTTCATGATAGTTTTCTATCCTATTGTGGTAGAGGGGGAAATACAGTGATTTCTATCACTTGAGCAAAGCAGGACTCAGAGGAAGCTTGGAGATAGTCAGGTAATTGCCTTTTCATTGGTAAATTTAAAATTGTCGTGCAAACAGTCAAGATAGTAAATTATATTTAAAGGCTGTGAATAATCTCAGGCATTAAAAAATCCAAACTGGTGCTTTGATGCTTTTGAAGGCTTCTTCCATTTTTTTTTAAAACCAAAAATTATCAAATAAAGTTCCATTCCCTCAAAATAATTTAATTTTGACAAATTGTTTTCTTCCTCCTTTTCTTCCCCCTACCCCCCACCCTTCTCTTCCAGCAACTGGAAGCAGCAGCTGCTCGTGCTGCTGAGGAGGAGAAGAAAAGGCTTCAGACTCAAGTTGAATTACAAGATCGCTTCAGTGTAGAGCTGGAGAGAGAAAAAATGGTAAGAAGTGCACGAGGGGTTTTGCTGCTATTACAGATAGGGAGCCATGTGTTCAGCAAGGGCTTCCCTCACAAGCAGCCACTGAAAGAATTCCACAGGTTTTGCAGGAGGCTGGAGGATGGAATATGTGTTGCATTTGTTTGAGATGTAGGATTAAAGTATTTTTACTGGTGAATTCAAATACTGGAACAGCTTGGTTACAATTCATGCAGTACTCAAAGTTTATGATTGGAAAATTGGGAGAAAAATAGACTGAAGCATAAAAGCAGACTGAAGTTCTCCTTGCAGTTTTCAGAGATGGAGAACCTGAGGCCAGTACTTGCTGTATGAATAAACAAAATGAATCAGGCATAATCAAAATGCATTTTATGTGTTCCTAGAACAGCTTTTTTATGCTGTGTGTTCCTTTACAGTTATACACACAGACAAATACAAAAATAAAGAAATACTGTTGCTTTACAATACTGTTACTATTCAGCTGCACTGAGGATTCCCCAAAGAACTGATTTGCAGTCTTCCAGGGCCGTTCTGTTAGCTGGGGAAAAGAAGTAGAAAAAGTGATGTGGTGGAACATCTCAGGACATTAATGCACACAGTGCTGCTTTATGGGCTGAGCATGAATTCCTGAATACAATCCCTTTCTGGGTCACTGGGATTTGGGTCAGCTGAGTGGAGCAGCCTGCAGACCAATGGGGCAGGACATTCCAACCCCCTTTATCCATCCTGTGCCATCATCCAGAGACATAAGTGTGTGAGATACACTGCTGCCAAGGAGGGAGTGAAAACAGTGCCTTTAAACAGCCTGACCTTCATGACTGGCCTCTCTACAACCTTCAGTTGTGTGTCTGTAAACTAAGCAACAAGATCAAGCTGACTGAAATGAGGTTTGAACCCCTGTAGAAACCCTGTGCTGCAGGAAGTAGGTCAATATAAGTAGCCTGTGTTACTATTTATTTTTTAAATGGTCTTAGTTCCACATCTGCAGATCTAGCCTCAATTTTATCAGTTCTGCTCTGCAGTCAGCAGGAAAAGGTTTGCCTCTGAAAACATGGCAGGAGGGAAAGCTGGAAGTTCTTTAAAAATTGGAAACCTGAGTTGAATGGTAGCTCATGTGTCCCAAATTTATGCTGCTAGGTAAGACAAAAAATGGAAGAGCAGGTTGCTCAGAAATCATCTGAACTGGAACAGTATTTACAAAGAGTACGTGAACTGGAAGAAATGTATAAACAGCTACAGGAGGCACTGGAGGATGAGAAACAGGCACGTCAGGATGAAGAGACTGTGAGGAAACTTCAGGCCAGGTATGGCTTTGACCAGGTGGAAAAGTGTTTCAGTCCCCCTGCCCATAGTGAGTACCTGTGCCCTGCTACAGTGACTGCTTGCCTCTCGGAATGGGGAACTACCTTCAAGTCCAAACACAGGACAGATTTTATCTTTCCTTAAGATATGAAGGCTGAATCTGCTGTTTATGATTTTTAAAATATGTCTGATTAGCCTTTAGCAGAGGGCAAGCTCAGCAGTTTTGGAAAAGCAGGTGCAGTTATTTTTCCATCAGATGTTGTGCGTGTCAGCATGTGAAAAACTGAGATCACTCTGTACAAGCTTTTCAGCTGTTTATTTTATAAAGCAATATATGTAAAAATGATTCTGCTGTATTTTATCACAGGTTTAAACTGTAATGATAAAGGGTTAAATTTCCTCTTACGGGGCTATGTGGAATGTGTTTTTTTCCCTTCATATACTCAGTCCTCCTAAGACAATGAAGATAACTTATGCATGCCTGTTTCTTCTGAGCCTCTGTGTTGTGTATTTGCATTATTGACTACGTTTTCTGAATAGCCCTTTGTAACAGTCAGACTGCTTGCACTGCTGGCATGACACTGAAGGCAAGCCAACAAACAACTTTTTCCCTGCTTCCCAAGCTTTTTTAAAAACAATATTCTTTTTCTCCTTAAAAAAAGAGGAAAGAAAAAATTAATTATTTAGGCTTCCCTGCATGGGTACGACTTACGTTAAAGTGCAGTTAACGTCCCAATCCCCATTGCAGATTGCTGGAAGAGGAGACAGCAAAGAGAGCTGAACTGGAAAAATGGCATTTGCAGCAGCAACAGACCATTCAGATGACAGAAGCAGAGAAGCAAGAGCTGGAAAACCAGAGAATGATGAAGGAACAGGCGCTTCAAGTGGCCATGGAGCAACTGAAACAACTTGAGTTGGAAAGGAAGGAGGCTCTTGAGCAGTATGAGGTGAGCTGCTCTGGTCATCAACCTCTCATCCTTATCCATAGATTGAATTTGAAGTTCTTCTATGTTATGCTTCTTTAAGGGTTAGTATGGCACAAAAGTTATAAGAGGTAGAGGTAGGATAGTTGGGTTGGTTGTGGTTTTGTTTGGTTTTTTTTTTTCCTAGTTTTACTGTTTGTAGACCAGAAGATATATTTGAAGAAGAGGATCTGTTTCAGACACACCTCTGAACCTCTTTTATTTATTTTTGTCACAATTTGCATGTAGGCCAGCTTAGTCACATCCTGAAATACTCTGTGTACATTTGTTTCCTACTGCAGTCTCACTTCATGTGTAGTCCCACTGCTGCCATAACTGGGTGCATTTTGCTTCTGAGGTAGTAATTCTTGCAGTGGTTTGGTGATGTCATGGCACTGTATTGTCTTCTACAGATGAAAAGTCAGTGTGTAGGTAGGCACCTACTCCTCAAAAATGTATTTAAGCACTGAATGGAAGTTAAGGATAGGTAGGAATTAGCTCAGATCCTCAGTGTGCAGCAGAGCCTTGTGTCCCAAAAGCCAGGCGTGCTCTCTGCTCTACTGAGTGTTTCGGGGAAGGTCAGTAACTGTTCATGGAAGAAATAAGAGCCAGAATCCAGCAAGTAGAGGCTGAAGTGCTGCACACTTTCCAGGGCTAGAGAGGTGTTAATCCTGCATTTATTTAGGTCAGGAAAGAAAGCCTGGCTGGGTTTGTGTTCAGCAGGGGAGGGTGTTTATGGGGTGAGCTCTGAAGGACAAGCCTGTCTCGCCTGGCACAGAACACAAATGCTGCACTCACTGCAAGCAAGGGCCCAGCTGGGGTAGTTGTGGCCACTTTACAACTTCCCAGGGTGGTGTTACGTCTCACATCATCACAAGATTGCTTCTGGCCAGTACTTGACTCTTTTTTTAGGTGACATCTCAGGCTTTTTGTATGGGAAGCATCATTTACTACTCCAAAGGAATTGCTGAATACAATAGACATATAAAACCACAAAAAAAAAAAAAAAAAAAAAAAAAAAAAAACAAAAAAAAAAACCAAAAACCCACAAACCAATTATTTTAGAAATAATTAAATATTCTAGCCTTCAATTTGGAATTGCCCAAAAGATCAGTCTAGGCTGAAGAATGAAGACTAGCTTCATTACACAGCTACAGAATATTGTAAAGCTTGTTATTTTGGGATTCTGGTTTGACAGCTTTTTTTTGGGGGGAGGTGGTTGGTGATGGTGACTAAATTACTTAGGATGGTTCCACATTAAATAGAGGGCTGGGGGAATTAGCATGGTTCTGGCTTTTGGTTTAAAAGGTGTTGTATCTTTATATAAAAAGAGAGTAAAGCTGTTGTTTTCAAGTGGGCTCTGTCTTATTTCAGGAGGTGAAGAAGAAGTTGGAAACAGCAGCTAACAACACCAAGAGCTGGAAAGATAAAGTAGCTCATCATGAGGGATTGATTCGACTAATAGAGCCAGGTGAGTTATCAACAGAAGAGTTGCAAAAATATGTATTTATTCTGTCTCATGCACTTATATCACTTGGTGGCTTACTGAAGTCTGCCTTTTCCTGTAGTTTACTGGTTTCACAGCAGCCTATAAATATCACCCTTTGTGACAACTGCTGATGGGAGCTTCCAAGTCTTTCCCTCTATTGGCCCTACTATAATGATTTTATTATCATTATTGTTTGTTTCTTTTATGTTTAAACGAAAGCAAGGATCAGCCTGGACACTGCATTGTGGGAGTGTGACGTTCCTGTCAGAACTGCTTGTCTCAGGTCTTGCTCTCTGTCTTCCAGGCTCCAAGAATCCTCACTTAATCACAAACTGGGGCCCAGCCGCCTTCACTGAAGCTGAACTGGAGGAGAGACAAAGGAGCTGGAAAGGGAAGAAAGCCACTTCGGAGTGACAGTGGCAGAACAGGAGCCCACCTCCCTCGTTCTGCTTTGCACAGAGCAGCCTCTTGCTTACAAAGTTTAGTTTGCTCAGCAAGTTGGGCCTTTCTGCTCATGAAATGCTGTTTGCCATGCTGGAGGGTCTGCTCAGAGCTCAGCCATTCCAGTGGGTGGAGTCTGGCAGGATGTGCTGTTTTCCCTCACTTTTCCAAGACTTTGCAACTGAAAGTTTGTATTGAAACATAGCTTGTGACAGAGTTGTTCCTGTACTAGCTGTAACAATCTGACAGCAGCTAACCAATCCGGCAGCATCACCTTCATTCCAGAAGGTGAGGGAAGCAGTTGTTCTGCTGCTTCAGTTTAGTATCATTTCAGCCCAGGATAAATCAGTCCTGGAGGTTGTGTCCAACTCTGAGATGGAGCATTACCTTTGCTTCCTCCTTTTACTTTTGCTGTCCCTCTGTTGCTCTCTGCGCAGTGCTTAATGCTCAGACACATTCCCTTGGCAAGGGGGGGCTGCCATCAGTGGGTGCCTGCTGCCTGCTTGGATGTGGTGTCCTGTTTCCCTCTCTTTGCAGGAATCCAAACAAAAGAACTGGAGATAGGCATGTAGAAAATGCTGCTGTAAGACATTTGAAAAAAGAAGTCGTGCAAGACTGGTTTTGTACTGTCTCATACTTGAGAAGTGCTAAATTAAGCCTTGAGAATTCTCCTCATAGTATAAAAGATGAAGTTTTGGCTCACAGATTTCTGAAGCAGATCAATGGAAGGTGGTAGCACACACAGGGCAAATAGCCTCTGTGTCAAGGCTGTGTTTGTGCCAGAAATCTGATTATAACATCCCACCATTTCTAGATGCAGCACTTCTGACTTACTTGTAATTGGAGGCCAGATTCAAAAAATGTAAGAAAAAATTTTTAAAAAAATAAAAATGGTAAATGTGTAGTGACACTGCTTTAAAAAAAAAGAAGTAATTCCTGTCAATAAAATAACTTGAGAGTTTCTAGTACCAAGGCTTCCCAAAGAGCCTGCTGTTGTGCCTTACCATTCTCTCCTGGGACAAAGCCAGGTATTTCTGTCTCTGTAGGGAAAAGGAACAAGGCTGTGACTTTGCTTTGCAGATCTCCCACACCAGCATTGCTCAGTAAAACAGGATTCCTGCCAACTTGTACAGACATTTTGAGATGCCCCCTCAAGGAGCAGGTGCCTGCTGGTGTGGCTTGTGAGCAGCTTTGACTGTACCCTGGCCATCCCTCCCTCACCTTCTTGTCAGTTCAGCTACATGTTAAATTATTTGTAGTAAATAAGAAGTGAATTTTTCAGGAGGATAAGCAGTGCCTTGGTGTGCAGCACTGTGATACTTGGGTCTTGGAAGAGCAGAAACTGTACAGAAGTGGTGTCCAGATTTGGAAGTCATAAATAGCATTTTATTTGCCTATTAACTAAGACTCACTCAAATACTGAATCTTCTCAGACATTTATTCTCTGGTTATATTTTTATACTAATTGAAATCTTTAATGTTTCAGTAAATGGAATGCTGATTAGAATGGCAGGAAAATCCAGGATCTTCCTATTTATACTCACTGTTCAGGAAAACAGTAGTTCCTTAAACTTGATAACAGTGCATTTTTTAAATTGATCACTTTTACAGAAGCAATGTGAATAAAAAACCCAACCACCTGTAATAGAATTACTAATGTATACAAGGTTAAACTTTGCTAAAGGAGCTGGAACAGTATTTGTAGCTACCAAACATCTTATGTGGAGAGCAGAAGGGGTATTGGGGCTAAACTTGTTTAATTTTTCTAACAGTCTGTTTTGGACAACATTTTTGTAAGAACACCAAATGATGCATGTTTTCGTATTTTTTACTGTTCTTTAGAAATGGCTGTTTAATAAAGTAATATAAAGTCATTTACATTTTGGAATTAATGGATGTCTTATTGCCTGGGTTTCTTTTGGCCTGTTGAAATTCAAAATCCAGTGACTGTTGTGTGGGAGAAGTTCAATGGTCGTATCGATAGGATGTTAAAGGCGTAATAAAGGCAGAGGTCACATGGTAACACAAATAGACTTTGTTTTAGCAGCATTTCTGCTCTTAAATGTTCATATTCAGTACTCCTTGCTGCAGGATGGGGCAAGGGCAGAGCAGGCTCAGCAGGGAGCTGTTGGGGCAGACACACAGCAGCCCCTCTCTTATCTGTCTGTCTGTCTGTCTGTCTGGCTGGCAAAAGAGGAAATGAGATAACGTTCCTTTTAGTTTTGTCGTCTCTGCTTGCTCTGGCAAATTAAAAAATCTTTGTGTGAAGCCTTGCTCAGTAAAGCTGGGGGGAGTGGTTGGTTTAAAAATTAAACCATTTGCATGCTGAGCAAAAATACCACTAGAGCATGAGCCCCTTCGAGCGCCACTGAGCAGCATCCCAAGGGAGCACAGGGCCATGAGTCACCCTGGAGCATGGAAATCTGCATCCTGCTGTGCCACCATCTCCGGTGGGGCCGGGGGTACTGCTCTCCTGTTCCCACAAACCAACAGCCTGCTCATGGTCAGGATATCCCCGCTGAACTGTGGGATTGGAGATGTCACTAGCCTGCCCAAGAAGCCCTAACTACACCTCAGGCTTACACAGAGGCCGGGGAAAGCTGTGCCTGCTGTTCCTGAACCCTCGGCAGATGCACTGGAGGGCTCATCCCACTTGTTTTTTGAGGTTTCATTTACCTGCTGCTGCTGGAACAGTCCTGCAAACCACAACCCCAGTACCGTGCTGTTCCCTCTAAAAACAGGATGGAGTTTGGTTTAGGGTTTTTGTTTGTTTTTGTTTTCTTTTCCCTGTGACCATTTTATGGAGCTGATTTATGAGCCGTGCTCACTGGATCACACATTCCCAAACTGTAACAGGCTGGCTTCCAGCAGCTCATGTTACTCCTGTTTCACCGTCCTGCATGAGCAGCCACAAAAGCAAAGCCTCTGAGGGGAAAGGAACAGTATCTTAGGACAGAATCTGTATCCTGGGGCAGGTGGGGAATTGGAAGCAGGTGATCATTAAGGTCCACAAGAAGCACCTGTTTGGCCCTGTTAATGGCAGGGGGATTGGAAGCAGGTGATCCTGAAGGTCCCTTCCAACCCTAGCCATCCTATGATGCTGTGTCTCAGTCATGCAGGACACCTGGAGCGGGAGCTGCACCATCCCTGTCAGTGAATGGGAGTGAACAGAAAATAACTGCTCTGATTTTTATCTCAAATATGCGAAGCAGTTACATAAACAATTTTTGAGCAAACCGGTGCAGGGCCAGGAAAGGGGATATCCACAAGGCCTTTCAGCTGCTTCGGGACGAGAGGTCATGATTTGTTCCCAAAGGAAGGGGTGCTGAAGGGCGGCAGGTGTGCCGTACACTTGTCCTCTGAGAATGGCAAATTCCTTCCACATTTAACAAGATTTTTACGGGCTTTCCTAGTCTGCCATTACTTGCTGCTTACTTGATAATTGTGGCTCTCTCTGCCTTTGTTTTGTTTTTTGTGTTTTTGTTGTTTGTTGGGTTTGTTTGTTTGTTTCTTTAACAAATCTTTTGGGGTCACTGTGGCAGCCCCAAAAGCCGGGACACGGAGCTCGGGATGGCGGGGCAGGAGCGCTCCGGGCCGGACCGGGGCTGCCTCATGGCTGGGCTCCGGCTGCCACCTCGTGGTGAGCCAGCCCTCGCCGCTGATCCTGCGGCGTTCCCGGCTGTGGCGGCGTCCCGGGACAGCCGCCCTGCCGCTCCTGCGCTGCCAGCCGCGGGTGCCAGGGAAAAGCGCTGTGCGGCACCGCCAGCACCTCCCTGCCCCTGCTCCAGGAGCCCGGCTAGCTCAGTGTGCCCACAGACATCCCGTCAGCCTAGGAAAAATGGATTTGTTTTGTTACCACGGGCCTGTGAGCTAATTCAGGCGTATTTCCCGAACAAACCGCGGCGCACCGCAGGAGGACAATGCGTGCAGTGGGACACAGCATCCCGCAATCTCGCATCTGCAGGCGCAGCTGGGGCTGCCATGCGGCTTTCCTAAAAGCAGAACAAGGAAAAATGCTCGAGGGAGGTTATTTCCCTGCACAGCCTTTGCCCAGGTGCTGTGTACCGCCCCGAGGCTGCAGGAGCGGGGCCGAGCCGAGGACGTGCTCAGCATCACGTACTCCTCTTTTGGGAGTGGGACTGAGGCTCGCCCCTTCCAGCCCCCAGCCGGGTGGGCGTGTGTGAGGAGAGGATATCAGCTCATGTGGCCGTGAGGGCGAAAATAAACATAAAATAAAATAAATCTAAATGCAAAATAAATTATATCTATATCTATATCTAATAAATAAATTATATACATATATAATACATAAATAATAGAAATATAAATAAATAAATGTGTATATATATATATATAAAACACAATGCAAACAGAAACTTCATGAATTTAGAGATTACTGTGGCTTCGACACATTTACTCTCCCTGTGAACTCCAGCTACCTGGAAATGGCAGGATTAAAAAGTGCAGAAAAGTCTTACTGACTGGCTTCCTGGGTGTGCCAAAAGTACCATCCTTCGAAAAAAGGGAAAGGCCAGTGGTTGTTTTAACAAATAAGGTGAAATGGTATTTGGCAAATGTAGCTGCATCTCACCTCCAGAAGAAATTAAGATTGGAATGGTATGATGCAAAACAGTTAAATGGGAAACATCCTGACAGGCCTTGAGAGGGAGATTTAATGAGGCAGTTTTTAACACCTGTGTGCACAGCCCTGGAAGAACCACTTGACAAGAGCCCTTCTCTTGCCTTTTTTCTCATATTTTAGCCTAATTGACAGAGGAAATGTAAAAGTATATGAGCAGCAGGGTCAGAGGAAAGCCCAGGGCAGACTGGACAGAATATTGATAACAAGGAAAAAAGAAATCACAGCACAAATGCACTCACTTTCCCCCACAAGCCTTTACTGAATAGGCTATCAATCCCTCAATGAATAAAACCACAAAAAAACCCCTGTCTACCCTACTCAGCCTGCTCATAGCTCACATCTCTCTTCTGCCTACCAACAGGCTTGATCTAGCACCCGCTTTGCACACAGTTGTTAAAGTAATTGCTAATTAATAGATCTGCTTGCTGTGGCTGAAGCACAAGAAGGCCTTTAACAGGATCCAGGCACAACAGTGTCCTCGTGCAAACGCTCACCTGCTGTCACTCCTGTTGTTACTTAATTTCTGAGCACACCTTGATGCCTGAGATCCCATCTCAGACGGGATTGAAAGCTCAGGCACAAACATGAGACAGTTTCAAAAGCAGCCTGGACTTGGTGTTGACAAAAATTAGCTGTTTCAATGCCTACCCCAGCATGGAGATTTCTCTTCTCACTCTGAAGAGCCTTGTGCAGCTCAGCCATGACTCAAGGGGACATGCTGGGGACATGCAGGTCCTCTGGGGTGCTGGTTCTTCAGTCCTGAGTGAAAAAAAGGAAAAAAAAAAAAACCAAAACAAATCACACTTTAAAAACCCTTATTTATGGTCATGCTTTGCTTAGACATTTTCAGAAAGTCCTTCTCACACTGGAGCTGAATTTTTGCATTTGGAGCAGTGCAAGGTGGTGTTCTGTGAACCATCTCCTTTGCCAGTGATGGTTTGGGCCGTTTACTCTCTCCAAGCCATGAAGTGAACCACCACCTCTCTCTGTGAGGGTGGAGCATGCCCCATTTTCCAGCCAGGCTTTCCTCCCTGCCAGGAAGATCTGTATGGCCATGGAGTGCTTATTCCCAGGCAGGAGGTGGGAAATGATGGGAACAGGGCACAGCCTGCTCACCCTCCCAAAAGCTGAGTGTTGTGGCACTGCTCCCTGTGGGGATGCAGGTGGCACCTTCTGTGTTTGCTGGTTTGTTTAGCATGGCCACTGCCTGCCTGTGGGAGCTGCACGATGTCCAAGGGGGTCTCTGCTGGCCCAGGGAGCTTCCTGGGGAGATGGCTTGCCCAAAATAACCAACTCCCCCAGCCTGGTCTCACAGGGTAGCTGTGCATGGCCACTCTGGCAAAAGAGAGTGGCCCACCCGTGCTCCAGCACGCGCTCCTCGCCGTCACCACTGCAGACGGCAAGTGCCAAGCCTACAGCAGCCCTCAGCCAGCTCCAGCCAGCAAACCCTTCCTGCCAGCAGGAGAAAATCCAGAGGGTGCATTCCTTGAAATCATACTTCAGGGAAGGGCGCAGGCACGGGGTATGAGAACCAGTCAGAGGGGAAGGGGACAGGGAAACGCCACCAGGTGCTGGATAGGGCCAGGCTGGGCCAGGCTGCTCAGGACCAGCTGTGCCCTGGGGGCAGAGCAGGGACCAGCCCTGCCCAGCTCCAAGGCAGCTCTGCCTCTGCCCCTCGCCCCGCTCTGAGCATTCCTGGGGCTGCCAGCAAGCTCCAGGTGCTGTGTGCTGCCGGCTGGCACGGAGAGCTCCCGGCTGAGGCTGAGCCCGGGCAGCCTGGGCCGGGTCCCGGGGAGCATTGCCGAGCCCACAGCACCTCCGGGGCAGCGGAGCTGCACAACCACTCGCTGCTCTTCCAGCTTTCCATTCTTTTCTCATTTTCATCTCGCCCCTCCTGATGAGCCCCAAGTCCCTACGTGCCGAAGCAGGGTGAGAAGACTGACACGATTTTTCCAAAGCCCCCGGCGAGCCGTGGGACCCGCAGCCCAGGGCTCCGCCAGCTCCTGCCCCGGCAGGCCGGCCAGGCAGCGGCAGCTGCTCCCCAGAGACGGGGAGAACAATAAGGAATACCAGATCTGCCGCAGGAATGCGGGAGATACCGTGGCGGGGGGCCCTGAGAGTCTGGGCAGCATTTGCTCACGGCTTGGCCACAGCCCAGGGGATGGCACTCAGACCGCGCTGTCGCCGGCCGCAGTGGCGGGGGATGCGCGGGGGATGCACGGGGGATGCACGGGGGATGAGCGGGAGGTGCGCGGGGGATGCGCGGGGGATGCGCGGGCCCCCCCGGGCGCCGGACAGCAGATGGCAGCCGGACACCGCCGCTCGGCCCCGGAGAGCCGGGAGCACGGCCCTGCTCGGCAGGCT